TAATTAATAAAATAAAATTGTAATTGTATTATTATTATTCATCGTCCGTTGGTCGAGGCAACTACACATGTGCTATTATTACCTTTCTTTCTTTTCTGCACTTCCACCATCAAACCTCCTGCCCAACAATAAGGCCGCCTCGCTGCCAATGAGGTTACAGCGGCCGCAGTTCGATTCGCGGCTCCGCAAAGAGGCTGCGAAAAGAGGCTTGGAAGAGGCTTGACGGGCTGGCTAATGACAAGTTTGTTGGTTCGTCTCTGCAACCCATTGTTTCCTCTCTCTCCTATTCTACGGAGCAACAACGTTCTGTGCCGCCATCTGCGTCATTCAATTGACAGACAGCCCTATTGCATCGTTTACAAAGCAGGGCAGGATCGAGACTTGCGCCCCGAGCGTCTTGCATTGGCCTGCCTATTGATCTCCCGGCATCTCCCTTGCGCTATGCCTGCTGCCAGGCACGATGTCAGGCCAGCAAGTGTTGGATGAGCTGCTCTATTCGTTCGTTTCTATTTTGCTTTTTCGTTTCTGGCGATTGGCTCAGCTTGGGCACCTCCTCGATGAGGATGGTCCATCGCCTTGTCCGAGTGGCCTGAGGGCAGCATCATGACCCCGTCGATATGCTGGCTCCTGCGTCCAACCGCGGCAGTTCTAGCGGTTTGATACGGAACTGGCAGATGACTGCAAGCTGCATGATGGGGGCCAAGGCCGAACGACAAACACCATGGCCAAGGTACGTTTGTATTGGGTGGCAGACCATTTCTTTCTTTGTCTACATGTACACCAGCTAACGGGGGGCTTCAGATGGAGTGTCTGGCTGGCATGTAAATGGCTCTACGCTAAGGTCGAGAGGCAAGTGTTGGCGATGGCATCGTCATGCCGTCAACGACTTATTCTGTCCAGAAACGGTTCAGCCAGCCGAGACGGTGACCTTTTCGTTGCCAAGGCAAGGCCCGGCGAGGCAAAGGCGAGGCAACGGAATGGCCTCAGAATCTTGATGCTTCGGGACCCGAACAGGCGAGTCTCATGTCATGCGTTGCTGCAAAGCAGATACTCGTGATAAGGCTCCATGGCCATGGCTATACCATCTCCGTTGTCCCGCCGCTGCTCAAAGACAAAGGCTGGCACAGTGGCACAGCCTGACGGGACCGTCTCTTGTTTGCGTTGCTCGAACCGTCCATCAGAAATGCATCAAGTGACCTCGAGCTCCTACGTGGCCGCTGCAGGATGGCGCCCGCTCCGCCTTCCCCGCCCCTTATCATTTGATGTCCAGAAAGTTATCCGCCACTGCTGCAAATCCAGCCCCCAAGGGTTGGCCAGATGCATCTTCATCGTGGCCCTCTTAGGCTGTTTCATGACCCTTTGGACATTTTGCCTGGATGCTTCACCGATGGGCTTGGACTTGGGCTTGGCCCAGCTCAGCGCCAGACACCCCCCGTGGGGAGGGAGGATCGCTGTCAGATGATGACTGAAACGAGGAGCCTTGACGATGAGCGCCTGTGACAAACAAGCCAAAGCGAAAGCGAAAGCCAAAGAGTCGGGGTGCGCGGCTTTGCTCGTGTCGTATCAGGACCATTCGCTCTGCTTCGGGCGGATTCGCAGCGCCGCAGATCCCGCGAGCAGGATGCGATGCGTCGATTCAGTGGCCAATTCGCAGCAGCTATTTCATACGTGCATACGGAGTACATCAATAGTTATTACTACTGCCCGTATCCCGGGCGAATAATGACGTGGGGAGCTTTGACAGACAAAACGAGAATTGGCAGATGCTGTCGCCAGCTTCAACTCGGTTATGAGCGTCTCAAATTCAAATCAAAATTACGTTGGCCATCATGACCATCCTCTGTCTTCGCAAAACTCTTGGCCGTAGCCCCCATGTGGCCGCGGAAGTGGCGCTTCAAAATGTCTAACAAGGAGAAAAAAAAAAGGACCTGACACTGACGCGACCGGGCCGCACCCGAGAGATCATCTGATCGAATTGAGTTGCTCTGCTTACATGTTATACTCGCAGGGTCTTTGTGCCTGAGCTGATAGGCGGCGTCAACTTGCGGGACCCTTGCAAACTTGGCTTCTACAGGACTTTGCTTTTCCCTCTTACTCTGCTGTAGAGGAGGGGGGTGTCAACCAAGCAGTGGAATGTCATCGCTGGAACGAAATCATGTCTTTTTTCGTCCAGACACGGGACGTTGTTAGTATTTCTTCAACATTTCATCTTAATCAACCCCCAGCCAAGGCAAATTTCTGCTCGTCACATTGGTGACAAGCCCAAGCCCAAAAAAAAAAAAAACGCACGCCATTTGTTGACGACTTTGCCGCGTGGGGGCTCCGCTCTTCCTGGTCGCCGATTGCTCGTTATTCTTGTGATTGCGCCTTGCCTGCTGAGCCCGGATCTGACCAATTGACGTGGGCGTCTCCCATATTGCGACGGGATACGCGGGCTTCCCTTCTTCATCACCGAGGTCGCAGCTTTAGCGGGTTTGAATGGACTTTGCGAGGGGATCTCGAGGGGGCACGTGTAAGCCGGCGTAGAGCGAGCGACTCCGGCATCGCCCGAGAGATTGACATGTTGATGACTCTGTGTGTGTGTATTGATGCATTGATGCTCTGTGACAGGATCTCCGAGGTATCAGACATGATCGCATGTAAATGATGGCAAGATTCATGCTTTCTCTCTCTTGAATACAGTATCCGAGGATGTGAAACGGTGGTTTTCGGGTGGTGTTGGCAGCATCTGATCTTGCGCTGAGCCGAGCGCTGCTGAGAGTTGAAAGCGGCTGCAAGGATAACACCATCTCAAACGGCACAGCATCAGGGGAATTTAGCTGAGAAGATACTACTACTAATGAGAAATAATAATGAGAATATTAATACAATGATTAAAAATTTAAAAAAAGAACCCCCAATCTAGTGTCACCGTCAATTTGTCACTCCATGTGATTTCGTTTTATATTTTATTTTATCTATTTATTTCATTTTATATTTACATATATGTATTTTCATTTACAAATTTTAATTCTAGGCATCGGCATCATCCAAGCTACTAGCCGGTCAAGCTGAGACTGTTCTTCCTCGGGTTACCCTTCCCATCTATTCCTACCTAGAGGGTATCACACGGCAAGATGTGGCTCACTACAGAGTGGTATACAGAGGTGTGTACCATGATGAAATTGACTTTTTCACATGAACAGATACAAGTTTTCGAGCCCCCGGCGTTGGCTACTGGGTCAGGGTCGTCGGACAAAGAACGTAGCTCTTCAAACGCCCATTTTTTATTTTTGTCCCTCTCTGTTGAACCCCGTGGGAGATTGGCTTTGGGCTGTTGGTGTGGTTGAACATGCCTAGAAGATCAACTCGTATTCATTTTGTGCTTGGGGGCACCATTGACTGTTGTTGTAACCAGCCTTCTCGACCGAGCGTGTTGTCTGTGACTTGGCAGAGACTTTGCTGATAACAAACTTCCTAATGCTTTCTGGGTGTCACTTGGCTCTTCTGAGCACGGCTGAATCTCTGGAAATCTCAATGACTGCTTGATACTCGCCACTGTGAATAGTAGAGCTGATATTATGAACCCGTGTGAGCTACAACGTCCTTTGTCAGCTTGCAAAAACATCACATAGAGCCACAAGTAGGATACGAAAAGAAACTCTGACACAGACGCTATGCGGGTCTCACTTCAGCCTGCTCCAACCTCATCGACCTTTCCCAGACGAGCTCGTCACCGACTTGCTCATCAAGGAACCTCCCTGTACCTGTACGCACGCACGATTCTGTCGGCGGTCGTCGCTGCTGCTGCTGCGCTACCCTCCTCTCGCAATCATCATCCAACCCCCTTCATTCTTAGAGGGTTCAATGGGAAACGCGGGAAGAGAGATGAAATCTACTGGCCCGCGACTTTCTTCCCCCCCTTTCTCTTCCCGATGAATTGAGTATCCCGGGATTGCAAAAGACGACCTTCCCTACACGGGTACCGACAGGTGCCCCACGGGGAGATGCTGCAAATGAGATGAACTCCATACCATTTTCACTCTTTTGTGGAGTGTAAGCGGGAGAACTGCCCATGAACCTGGGGAGAAAGAGTTTCACAGTCAAGAAGTCGCCGAGACGGGAAGCCGCTGTGAGAAGGCAACTTGTTTGGTTCAACGGGAGGATGTACAAGCAAACAAAATCATACCCCTCCTCTCGTCTTTCTTACCCACAGGCAGAAGGATGAGCGAAATGAAAGCGTGTCACAGCAACGAAAAAAAGGAGGCGCGGACCAAGCCCATTTCCCTCTCTCGAGATTGATCATGTGGTCCTTGGAATCCCCGAGGGCCATGTCAATTTTTTGTTCCTCCCTCTCTCTTATCTCTCTGGATTGGATTTCTCTTTCTGTTGAATGTGTGTTTGTGTCATTCATTACACACGGACGGGCTGAGGCTGGCTTGGGGGGTATATGCGGCTGTGAATCATTTGCTGGAAGACAAGGCGAGACATGTAGTGTAATGTAATTCTCGTCTGTCTCTTCCTTGTCGAAAAGGCACCGATGGAAAGTTTAAGCGGCGTGACTCTTTTTTTCTTTTTCTTTTTCTTTTTCTTTTTTTTTCTTTTACCTTAAATTCCTTTTCTGCATTTGGCCCCCGGATTGGATTGGCTGGTGCAAGACTTGTTCCTCGTGATGCCTGGATGACACTTGGCGAAGGAACAGCAGGGAGAGACATTCTCTTCCCGTTCTAAAAGTAGACTCATCCCCCAGCGAGAAATCGGAGTCGAGACCCTTGGAAAGATTCGGGCGTGAGCAAGTGACTGAGCTGCTGCATACCGGATGAGCAAGAGACCATTGTAACAAAGAAAAAGAGCCACAACGGGTACACGCAACTTTCACACGACCTGCGCCAGCGTCGTACCGTGGATTGCCAGACCTACCGGGTACTTCCTCTCCCGTCTTTCTTCGCAGAGCATTGACTCGGCCTCCACGCGATGGGCGGACAATCTTAGACCGGTTCGTGTCTCACATATGCCCTACCGGAACAGCCACTGCTCATCACACCGACTCTTTGAGGACTGCCGCCTCAGCTCGACCCCGTGAGTGAGCGTGACCCTGCTTTTGTTTCTGATTTTTTTCGGAGGGGGTGTGCTTTCATTCGGGTTCTCTGCTTTTCGGCCCCGTCTTGGCGGTCTGTGCGACGGACGAGAAAGAGGGCTGGAGAGATAGTTGGGGGGAGGAGGGGGAGTGTGTCGTTTTGCCTAGCTGCTGCTGCTGCGCGCGTGTCTGTCCATCCCGTCTTTTTCGTTGGAAATTGAGAGTGTTGGTGTAAGCCGGCATCTGCGGTGTTACGGCATGATGATCATGATGCGCTGAAAGGGGGGGGCGATGATAGATGTTCCCGACCAATGGGTTGTCGGAAGCTCGAGGGTTTTTTGGGGGTGAGATGATTCGCTTGAGAGAGTAGGTGGCTTGATGATGAAGCGACGAATGGGGGGAGAGTGTGCAGCAAGTATCAGCCGTGGAGGATGGGATAATGGTGTTTCTGAGAGAAACAGGAATGACATAAGAAATGGGTGGTGTATTACGTGGGAAGTTGGATGGAGTGCGAGATGGGTTGACCGCCTCGAGGGTTTGTGAGATGGATGAAGGAGGAGGAGGGGGAAAGATGGATAATTGAGCGGGATTTGATGAAGGTAAAGAGCGGGATGAAGAAGAAGTTGTGAGTGGTATGAAGAAGGAGAAGGAAAAAAGGTATGAAGCTGAGGTATTTGCCTGAGGTGGTATTGGGTTGAGACGAGACACGGAGAATGGCGGGGTTGTATGTGTATGCCTGGACAGAATCCACACGGCTGGATAATTATCTTGACAGAGATAACGAATATTGCTACTGCTGTGAGCGCCATATTGGTTGAATATGTATTGATGATTTGTAGATGTATATTTGGTTGATGATGTATCAGTTTACAAAGCGCTTTGCTCCGAAGCGCTGCTTGCGTCTTTTACTCGCAATGGTAAACCTTCCGTCTCTCATGAGGATTTTAAACATGTGTGAGGTTAAAATGGACATGCATAAATCAGATTCTCCTCTAGGTTTTGATTCAAGGGCTCTTGTTTATATCGAATTGATTCCCAGCACGCAATTTCTCTAACTTACATGATTAACAAACATACTCTATACAATGATTGATGAATCAGCATATCCTTTAATAGTATGTAAGGCACTACCAGATAAATAGTCCCAAGTTATATCCAAGAATTTACAAACAATTTCTTGAAGCCAGTGCTGGCCGCTAACAAGGGCATCAATGAGCATCTCAACACTTGCAGTCTAATCCAGACAGCTGCTAACCCACAACTACAGCATACGCTCCATACGATCGATAGCCTATAAATGAGCGGGGCGCTTATAGAAAGAATATGCATGTAATTTCACAAGATCAACCAAGAGTCATCATGATGAATCAATAAAACTTGCCCACGTCTCCTACATCATCCATACCATAACCCCGGAAACTACTCAGCAAGGCAATAACCACGGCTATATAACCCCCATGCCAATCAAATCCTCACGGCAAGCCGGAGATTCCTAACCGTCGCTCACCTTTCAGGCACCAGCCAAGCAAAAATCGATAGCGGCTCATCAAGTCTGCATCCCGGAAGGGGGCCCTATACGCCCGGGCAGGGGTGGAGGTCGTAAATCCCGAAGCGGCCCGGCCCCATCCCCGGTTCCCTTCCCACCCCCGGCCGATTCTCTTTCTAACCGCGGGATGGCTGATGCAATGACCCTCTCATCATATGTAATCCTGTACCCTCGGCTTGCTTGGGAATAAGCATGGGGGGCTAGCAGCAGCACACACATTATCGCTTGTAGGTACGTGCTTGTGGCCTGTATGTAGATTGGATGGGTTGCGGACAGAAGGAAGATAACTGTAGTAAGCAGGAGCTGCGGGATGCGCTCGGCATTTGGGTGGTCTAGGATGAGTCGATCATCCTCATTCGGGACATTCGCTGGTTCTTCCCGACGAGCATATATGATATCTCGCTCTCTCTTACCTGCCGGAATAATATCACGCCGCCACCATGGCGAAGCACCCGAAAGAAGAGATAAAGGGAGCCTGTCCGGGCCAAAAATAATCTTATTCAAAGTAACATCATCCCACGTGGACAGTTGCAAATCCCGGTCAAAAGATGCATGGCCCTCATACGACTCTCCCCAGCAACAAGAATGTAACTGGATGACAATTTCAAATAATAGTGAACAGCGTCCGGCACCGACACTCCCTTATGTGTACTCGTACGTGCATCAAAGAGTATGCATGCATCATCGCAGACGCCGAATCCTGTAGGCGTCAGCAACAGTAACCCTGCTTGCTTTGTTGTTGCAGCAGGGCCACAGAGGGCTTATTCCCACCCCTTCGTTGCAATTCTCACTCTTGCTTCTCCTGCATTTCTGGACTTGCGTTCCAGCGACGCCGCATCAGTGCCCAATGATGCAGAACACGTGCTTTCAGTCCGCGTTGCAGATAGCCCCTTATTCCCACCTTGAATCTAGTAAGCAGGACAAATCAATTGGCGTCTAGAGGCAAAACGAAAGAAAAAATGTCAGCTCATCTCCCCATCAGACCGAAATCGTCCGTCGGTGTCCACGATGGAAAATCATCTCCACCTCGCGGTTTGATCAAATTGTCCGCCGGCGATGCCATTCTATGCAGAAAGTAGAAGCAAAACCTCACGTGGGGGGCCGTTCGGGCAGAAAAAAAAGCTCGTAACGACCCTGTAACGTTAAAGCACTGCTGATGCTGGTGTAATTACTCCATCGGGATGAACGTGCTTCTTGTAGTGGCAAATGACGGAGTATTTGCTGACCACGATTACCGTTTGTGCCGTCAGATTCATCAAAGGGTGATCTTCGATCACGCCTCTCGCAAAAGGGCTTTTTTTCTTGCCTGTAAGCCAGTCCACCTTCTTTTTGGGTAGTGGGTAAATGCGATCCCCTACCCCCTAGCACGCGAGGGCCGGCCCGTATGAAATACGTGCAAAGACTTTAGCCGGGGCGTGGGAGGAGCCTGCGGTGAGAGAAGCTATCGGCAAGGGTCCGTGACCACTCCGATGTGTAATGGTCATTGGAATTTCTCCTTGGATGCATACAGGTATGGTTCTTAGATGACTGTCACATCTCAGATGCTCACCCAAACGCCAAGATGCTGCAGACGATGTATCCCGTGTCACGGATTGGGTAACGGGTAACCATGGCCTTGGATTCCGGGTGTGGGGGTTCCCCTCTGCTCACCCACGGGGATGACGCCCTTGTGCACACACGTTTGTGATGATGGTTCGTGATGGAGGCGGAAGGTAGCATTCGTCATGACCATGATGTCGAAGCTCGTCGTCGGTACGGGCGTGATTCCACAAACAAGGCTGAGGCGATGACAAACTACTACCAGTAGAGGGCGTCTTTTCCGTAACACACGTACCGTTATGGCACCGCCGAGGCCGTATCTCGTAGGGATAACGGTCTGATACTGCTCTGTAGCATCTCTGATAGAATGGTTACCTCACCCTCACTGGTGATGGCGAGAATATGGCAACTGATATCAGAATCGAGCCAACGTTGAGTTTGCAGCTCAGAGAGTAGACCGCAGCTCATAAAGCGCTTTCGAATACTTGTAGTTGTGTCAACTGAGAGCTTGTTGTTGAAGTCGTAGCTTTCCATTAGTACTGGTAGCAACTCTCATCTCCTTCGGGCTATTAATAGCACCTTCAGGAGAGTTCAAACCATCATGCTCATCAATTGTATCTTCCATTCTCATCCAAGCATTTGACAGTTTCGATTTCAACATTCACACATTGTAAACCAGGTTTCCCCAGGTTATGACGCCTGTCAATGCTCAATGCTCTGGGTTTGTGCAACACAAAAACCGGCAGCGTGGTAATACTACCTACCATGCGACATCGTGGTGCCAAGATGCGTCTTCGTCGAACCACTTTGAAGTGGTGCCCATGCTCATGATGTAGTTCGCCAATCTACTGCAACGCTGCCCTATGCACGTCGTCGAACTCGTTGACATGATCTCTACTTCTTCTGCTACAGTCGCCACATCGAAAAGACGTGTGACTTTGAAAGTCACATTTGCCTCCGTGATGTTGATAGAGAGCTGTAGTCACGTTCTCTTACTACTTTGCGATAGTCTTGGAATACGTGATCATCCCACCCAAGCAGCCGAGTTTCGGCAGTTGTAAAGTTCGTCAGATATAGCATCTGGCTTCACCATCAAACGTTGCATGACCAAGTAACCATCTTACACAGCACATGGGCTGAAGCGCAGCTCTCATTCGCAACCTCTAATATGGATGGCTGGTCGGGAGATAACCTACCCGGCGGTACTCTCCTACCTGCCTGGAGTAGAAACAGCCCAATGGAGATGAACATCGCCTTCTGTATGTAAACACGAGACGCCATCAGGTCCATCTCAGTGCATTCATAGTACGTTTCAAGCGTGAAGATCACTCCTCTAGACGATTCACATGCCGACGAACACTCGCACTCGCACTCGACGATCCGGAAACTGACTCTCTCACCGACCCGCCATTGCGGACGATCAAGCCAATCCTCTCAAGGCTTAGGAGGCAAAAAGTAGAGAGCGACGGGTCCCAGGTGAGCACAGACCGAAGTCAGATCTGGTCGGACCGATGTACATGCATACAAAGAAGAGAAAAATCTTCAAGCATCCCGTTCCGCCCCCTGCATTTCTCATTATCCCGTCTCACGAGATAAAAAAATATTCTCCTTTAAGAACCTCCCCCTGCCAGATATCCGACTTCATGGCTGAAAGGCAATAGGGGCCTGAATGATGGCAGAGTTACTCGACGGCAAGGAGATGACCGTTCATGTTCACATGATGGACAAGCCTTCGAATCGAAGGCAGATGCCCTCGCTTAAGTGTCGCCCAGGGCATTGCATAATAGAACTTTTCTCGAATCCAGGGCCCAACATGGTATGACCCGCCTGGCTCCTCTGAAGCACACCCCGGTCCAGGCGAAGTGCCAGAATGGCACATGAGAATACTGTACTGGCAGTAGTAGTATAATTGACTGCCGTGACACGAAGCCGAACTTTGCCGTGACTAGAATGTCAAGTCATCCTCCGGATCCGGATCCGCGAGTCAGCCCGGTCCAAGTTATCGCCAACACGGTACTGTCAGGACGTGGGATGCTCATGGACCGGTGATCCGCCACTCTCTGTGTCTCGTGTTTCTGGTACGATTCCGCATCACGTCGCCGGCAAAATCCTGCTTTTGAGCCTCTTCCGATGCGCAACAAAGATTCCTAACAGCAATCAAGCATACTGATAAGAACACAACTGAAGCGAATGATTCGCCATGTGAAAGAAAACACTCAGCGGCGATTCCGAACGCGCTAAGCAGGTCCTTCTGCGGCCCATAAAAGCAGACATAACAGGGCCGAGCAAACTGGGGCTCAGTTCTTTGTCATTGCAGAATTTCAAATGCTTGCAAGGGTAGACGTGTGAAAGCCCACTGCCAGGGATTGCTCGCGACCCATTGACATTTTTCGTAAATAAAATAAAATAAAATAAAAAACAACTCAATATTTTTATTTTATTTTATTTTATCCATTTCCATCCCGGCCGAATGCCCCGGAAACAGTGCCCACCGTTTCGGACCGTCTCCGATGAATTAATATCAATGGATCAGAGCCAACGCCAAAGTGCTGAGTGGCGTTAATGGCATCGGTGTCGCTTTGGCGATAAGTCTGTTATGTTGGTGTTGTATGTAGTTCAATTCGCCGACAATCCGCGAAGCCGCGGCAGTGCTTGTAGTTGAATGATCTTCAAGCCAAAACGCCACAGCCGTGCGGCTCGCTGCTAAAATCCATTAATTACGGAGTATTTCGCAAGTCAATAAACGGTCATGGTCGCTTCTGGGGAAAACACTCCGTTTTGAACCGACGATAATGAATGCGGTAGGAGGAGAATAATTCGCCGACGGTATCGCATCGAGAATCCTTCAAGGCCACATGGGAAAATGTTGTGACCAACAAAGGAAAATAAATAAATCTCGAAAATAATATGCCCGCGGAATAAAATTAAGGAAATCCCAGTGGATCGCCAAAATCTGCAGCCAAGGGCCAAGCAACAGACCCTGGAGTGACGACCACGTTTTTCAAAAGTGCCTCCTTTTAGCACACCGGAAGGCATCCGGCAGCCAGGGCCCGACCCCATGTCGGAATCTTGCCCTTGATGGCCCTGTGACTATGCAGCGATCTGACTGTACGGAGGGTGGGCTCCGTCCTCCATATGTGGAATTTAACGTTACGTGGAAATCAGATCGATACTAGCTCGTTGACGGAAGAGGATGTTGCTGATATCTGGCTTCTGCCATTGGTTGGCAGAGTGCCGAAATAAACTCGTCGGACAATGTACAAGCTATGCGATTTGCATTAGGAGGCATAGTGCGATTCTTCGGTTACATGAGACTGCGAATGCTTATTCGAGGGTTTTGCCTCCGTTTCGTATTCGACTCCCGTTTGCGAAGCTGTCCGATTTGAGCTCTCAAACAACATAGAATTGCTTCATTTCCTAATTTCGACTCTCTGACGCACTTCCCCCGGTCAGGAAACCCGAGTATAGAACAGAAATAGGAAATGAAAGCGCCCAAGGGGAGGCGTATTGAGCGGTAGGATACCTTGGTGAGCCATGCGTCTCCGAGCAGCACCGGATGTCGATGAGCCTTCTCATTGGACACAGGGAGGGGAGCCTGGTAAAGCGGATAGCTTCTGCTTCTGACAGCTGCGGATCATAGTTCTGATGCGGCATATCACCCTGAGCAGGGCAACAAGGCTGATGAGATTCGAATGGGTTTACCCCTTTGATCGCCCTCCAGGTGGATGTCTTGGCTGGGCGCCCCATCTGAATGTTGCAATACTCCTCCCATTGCCCAATAGCGGGCAGTTGTCGAGAGGGCGCTACCATGATGAATTGTAATCCAAAGCAGTCTCTGCCCTAATAGGCATGCATAAAAAGCATAAGCAGTGATGTAGCTTGAATCTGATTGGGCTTCGCGAGGAAAGGCGTGGCTCCTCACGATGATGTTGAGTGAGTCGTAGACAATCACACAAGGTATGAGTGGTATAATTTTATGATATGACACCCACAGCAGTACGACGTGTCACGACTTTGATGGCCCGGCAGTTCTCTGCACTCAATGCAACAATTCCCTCATTCAGAGATGTGATTTGTCCAAAGCTCTGTGGACACCTGCAAGTACTTTGTAGGTTCATGTAGACTCTTGCGTGTGCAGGTGAGAGGTTATAATCCCGGCCGAGAAAGATCATGTAGATGCCGACGGTTGAATATGCAGCTGTAGTTTAGATTTAGACTGCTTGATACGAGAGACCCTTGGTCAGTAAACGCCCGAATGAAGGCGAACACGATATCGGCCAAACCAAGAGCCTTGAGACGCATAGCTGATTTAGAAACAACTGGCCAGGGACATGAAGCCCTGCCACGAATTCGATGCTCACCAGCCATTGTCGGTGCTTTTATTCGTGATGAGAAATACCAGGAAATCCATGACAACACGGGATGACAGCGGGACGTCTAGCTTCGTGAGCATCTCGGCCTCACTACTCCGTCCAACAAGTATACCAAGACCACCAATGCAGATAAGCATGGCACTAGCGGATATGCTCCATCAGGAAAGCCAAGGCTGCATCTAATACCACTTTACCGCCTTCTGGTGATCTTCTAGAATCGATTTGTCAATCCGTACCTGGAACATGCATGAGTGTCTGGACAACTGCCAGTGGTGGGATTTGACGATTCCTCGAACTCACCTCTGTGATGGACGCATTTGTAACCACACGTGGGCCTGTAAGAGACACGAAACACACAATCTTATCTTTCCACCAGGGTCCTTCAGTCGCCGTTCAGATTTGACCCCAGAGGATACGAGTTCCCTAACAAGAAGGGGGTTCGGCCATTTTGCGGGGGAACGAAGATCCTCACGAAAGCCGCCTAGTCCCAACCCTTTTGAACGAATCAGCATCGGCTGTCGCCATCGTGAAAAACGTGTCGAAATGGGTACAGCGCATGAAACATGCCTTTAGGCCCGCTCGGTCAGAAAGCTTGACAGCTGCTGTTTATTTTGTCTGGACGTGCATGCGCGGATACTCGTATAGCTGTGTGAAATGCCGTAGAGAACGGGCGTGCAGATCCCCCTCACTGACCGTTTGCGAGACTCGCCTCCGTGACAGGGTAGAGCATAGTCGGCGAGCATACGAAGTAGTCGGCGAGATGGGAGGGAATTGCCAGCAGCCCATGTCAATACGAAGTAGAGGCTGTGATTTGTGTTGATTCTCCGTTTTCTCCATGGCACATGTACCGAGTACGTGAGCCTCGACAAGGCGTTCCTCACGTGGCCGCTGTCGGAAAAACGTGAGCCACCAATGACCAACACAGCCTCGTCTGACTTCAACGCTGCCAACAAGTATCTTGTACTTGATAGCCCTTCACAACACCATCCCCAGAATCCCGAGAAAAGACGGCCAAACCGAACCCATTCGTGTTTTGCAATCCAAATTCCCCATTCGGGCCTGTTCATCACAATGGCCCTCCTCCACACAGCCTGATCTGCCCGGACTCTAATCGTCTTTCCCTCCCCCCCTGGTTAATTTGAGACCGGGAGGATCATGGTTCCCCATGGAGACTCAACGTGCGCAGCTCAAAAGCTCCCCCATGACACTCTGTTCCTGCCTCCCACGGGGCCTTTCGGGTTTGTCGCGGGATCAGCAGGGACACATGGAACAGGTAAGACGGAGGGCCGCGTAACGACGGAAGACGGAAAAAGGACGAGCTCGCACTCATACGCCCCTCCCAAGAACAGTTTGCTTCCCCCCCCCCCCAAAACGACCCCCAACCTCATCCCACCCCCTCCCCTTCAAGATTGCGAAAGGGCAAGGAAGACGAAGAGGAAAAGCCGAACACGGTTCGTTCTCTCGAAAAGGGTTCGATGGATGCTAGATTTAGATTGCGCCAGTAGCATGGCGGGTAGATGTCGTTTGGGGGGAGTTTGCGAGCTGTCACATTTCCAATCCGATTTGGGGTTCCCGTTGCATTTAGCCGGTTATTTTTATTTTATCGTTTATTAATTTTCTTTTCATTATGCGTCAATAATAGCCGCTCCAATGCAGTTATTCGTTTCCCTGCTCTCTCCGTCTCGTTACGTGGAATCAGGATCGAATACGTAATGGATCACGGACCTCACTGACAACGCAGACTATGATTCTTCCTACCTCAGATGGCATATGTGTTGTTCCCATATCGGGATTGTCGTGCATAGTCAAAATCATCAAATTTATGCTTGACCTGCCATTGGCACGCTTCTGGCTGTCCTCCTCGGTTGCGATGTGTAAGATTCGTTGGCTCAACTACTCCATATGGGGTATCGCCTTGTTTACTGAAAGCACGCGCCTGGTCAAGTCAATCATCTATCATCTCGAAAATTATACACGTAACAATGAAGTCACACTAATTCAGAAAATCACCTTCATATATTGGATAGCTAATTGAGCATTTGCAGTGATACTCTTCAAACACTCTCCAAGGCGCCCCTTTAATCTACATTAACAACCCGAGACATCTCATTTGACCCGTCTCACTCAATCCTTCTTTGCCGCAGAACCTCCAATCCTCCTGTACTTCCTCGAGTCATTCTTCCTCATCGTCGTCTTATCTCTGTTTCCTTTACCGCCCTCCCAGAATCCCTTGCCTCTCCTGCCAATCACGCTACGGCCGCAGAAGCGACACGCTTCGACGGCGTAGTTTTGCTCACGGCTGCAGAAACCACAGATCATCCTGTTTGCCCACTCGTTGATATGATCCTCAGCCTGGTCGTGGCACTTGTCGCACTTGTGCACACGATTGCAACATGAGAAACGGAACCAGCGGTAGGACTTGCGGTAGTGGGAGCAGGTACCCCTATCTGGGAGTTGGTCGCCTGCATGTAGTCCCAGCTTCTCTTGCTTCCGGCGAAGGCCAGCTGAAGAAGGCGGGGGAAGCGATCCAGGGGAGATAAAGAGGAACTTGACCTCGGGAATTTTAAAGGTGAATTTGCTGTGACAGTCGCGGCAGACATTGGTCGTGGTCTCGCCTCTTACAGAAACGAGCCCTTGACTTGGTGTCGAGCACTTGGCGCACGTAGGCACAAAGGTGCTCGGCAGCATATCTGCCACCTTGCCTCCTGAGAGATCAATGAACCCAGCCCTTGCCGAATTCTCATGAACAAGCTGTTGGTTGAATTTGGCAGCGAGAGGTGTCGCGCATTTCTTGCAGCTCGACGTCTTTTCGACTCCAGGCTTGAGCCCGGTCATGTCATTTAACGTCTTGCATCTCTCGCACTTGACACTCAGACTCAGGATCGATATCTGTAAAAGTTCGACGCTGTGAAGTTCAATGTTTGGAAACGAGATCATAGTGCCGTGTTCAACCGCCTCACTAGACGATGGAACTGCCGCGACATCATCGTCATTTCCCAATATTGCCCCACCGTCTTCATCAGAGTCTTCGTAGCTATCTTCTTCTGATTCGTCTTCTTCGTGGCCAATGCTCCATTCAGGAGGCCGAGGAATGACCTGAATATGACCTTTTCCTTTGATAAGAGGCTGCGATGAGCTGGCAGAAGCCTCTTCGTTAGTTTGTGACTGAGACTGCTGCTCCTGTATCGCTGCCGCAGCCGCAGCCGCCGCCTGCTCCTTCTCAGCCTTTAATGCCAGTTCATGCGCCTGCTTTGCAAGATTATGGAGGTTCTGAGCCAGATAATTGACATGACTCATAAGTGTCATGTTCTTCTGCTCCAGAACCTTTTCTGCAAAGAGGTCTTCAATGGGTTCTGCATCATCGGCGTTTGCTTCATTTAGCTGCACGCGCAGCTGCTGCAGCGGATACAAGAGCGGAATGATTAGATGAATGCTGTTGACCGAGTGCAAACCAGAAGGGAGCTCAGCACGACGTTTTGGCTCGAGTGGTAGCGTGAAAATGACACCATCAGCAGAACGGCGGAACTGAGGCATCCTTCCCATTCTCGCCTCGAGTTGTCGAATCTCCTGAGCTCGCCTTGCTTTCGCCTCGGCAATCTGTTCTCTAGTGTATGATGGTTCCGGGATATATCGTCTTGGAGGAGGGCTGGGAGCAACCTGCGCTTCCGCTATGGGAGACTCGATAGCAGCCGACTGTTTCTGTTCCGCTACTTGGTCGAGATGTCTCGTGTCTTTGAACGATACTAGTTTGATCGTTTCGACTTTCTGCTCCGACAAGAATCGTTCCAGATTCCTGTCCAAAGCATAGACCAATGCTAAGAGAGTTGAACCCTTCTTCTCCTCGGCGAGCCTATCCCAGCCTCTCTCAACATTGATGCTGAACCCCTTAGGGATATCCTTATTCCTGACTAACAGCACCGGCCTTTCTTCCGGATAGTCCTCAGGAACGCGGACATCACAATCCAAGTAGGGTAGCTCAAAGGGAAAATCTGGATCTGAAGGCTTAAGCTTGAATATCAGAGATGTCTCTCCCGCCGCAGTCGTGGACTCTTTGGGTGAGAATCTCCTCTTGAGCTGTTCGATGTGATAGCCGCGCGGGTCCTGAATCTGTGCTTCAGGCACGGGCTTGGACACAACCCGGGCATCGGGGGTGTCTGTTACGGCTTGCCTCCTATCCAAAGGCGACCCGTCTGGCTGCGTCTTGAGTGCAATCATGATTGAAGACGTCGAATCAAGAGAATCCAATATGGCTGAGCTGATAATTGTTGGACAAGTGTCACGGAGGTGACGGATATTGTACACACAAAGGAGAGCCGCAACGCCAAAACCAGGGACAGTAAAACAAAACAAACTCCTGCTATGTGATTCCAGACGATCGAAAAGCAAAGAGCAAGACTCGTAAGATCTTATTTAACTTGAAATCAACACTCGGAGAGCAAAGAGGCGATATTGAATCCCGAAAGCTCAGGTGGGGCTGAGCATCCGTTACAGATGTTGGTGGGGTTTCGATGACTGCTTCTCTACGGACTCCGTACTATGAGTCACTAGCAGCCAGTTGGTCAGCCAACATTTAGTGGTAGTGCTCTAACGGCAATATACTGGGAAAAGCTGCGAAAATTAGTTAGAGCGGAACCTGCACGGCATCTCCAGGCCTCTTAAACTTGGATCCCTTCATTTTGAGGCTTTGTGCTGAATTATAGGAGACAAATTTTGACATTGTCATTTCTGTAGTCATTCAATCCATAGTGAGTCACTGTAGAACTAACCGTTTGAAGCAACTATCCCCTACAGGTTAGCTCTTTGACGCAGTATCGTGCCTTTGCCTTTGATAATGCCATTGATGCTTTTTGTGATACGGACATTTGCCAACGCTCTACTCATTTAATATTGCGCGTCCATACTGGAGCGCTACTCCGCACTGCCGTAGGAGTGAGTAGAGTGCTAATCGTCGATCTGTGGCTATGGGCCGAATAGAGATGCGTCTCAAATTGTATCGATTACAAAGGAGCTATAATCACACAACGTACCATTTGAGCACGTTGGGCAGTTTAATTGGCAGTAAAGAGAGCCTGTGGTTTGAATGACTTGCCTTGATTTTGGTTGGCTGATCCCACGGCTGTACAGCCATGCACCCATCACACGATGCTTGATCTTTGTTCGTATCGGCAATAGACATGCATGCGTCTAGTTCAGGCTCTTCTTCACTTCTTGCAAAACCGTCGTGTTTATGTGCCGATCTAAACGGAATATCCTGATGTACAATCAAGACATAAAATACAAGGATTAGAGCCTGACGGAGTTTATAGACGCAGGGAGGCAATTCGCAGGCATACATATTGTAGCCGGTGCAGCTGCGGCTGCGAGACATCTCAACGGTAGCTCGGCAAAAAGGAAATAAATAAATTGGACGAAAATCTTTTCCTTGTTATCCGCCATCCTGCTCGTTTATCCGGGGAAAGAAGACAATGATCCTATTTGCCTGATGGTGACCTTGTCAGTCAACAGAATGACTACCTGCGAAGCTGTCTGGTGGATGGACATGCAGCAGCGCATGCGTGTGTACTTATTCGGTAGCTATCTAAACACCTGGGTGGCTGAATCGAGAAGGGAAAAAGGAGGCACCTCGGGGCGAGATCGAATCAAGAAAATAGAATCAAGAAAATAGAATAAAAATAAAATGAGTAAAATAAAATGAATAAATAAGTAAATGCAACGCGAGTTAGACAATGCGGAGACGTTTGCCTGGTCGGTGTTTTTCGTGGCAATAGCATCACAACACCCTGCATCACGTTTACCTTTACATGAATGCACGTACATGCGTAGCAGCAGTCTGGCACATACAGTCACGCCCGGCAGTGTGATCCGGGGAGAGGCATGAGACAGCAGCACGCATGAGAGACATGGAGAGATACGCAACGGCAGACAGACAACCAGACAATGTAGGGAGAGAGACCATGTCGAGCTGCCGCCTGCTTGCTCACCGTGATCAGACAGGCACACACGCCCCCCATCTGTAGGTTCGGGGATGACCTGAGGGTATCCGCGAGACAAAGGCATTGGTGCTCTTTCTACCTACTAAGAGCTCCGTGTAATCCGCACACGATGTGTACATGCAGCTTCAGCATTCCAATGTTGTAACTAATGTGAGGAGCTCAACAAACATGAGCCCCCCATTCGCATGCCCCACGGAGAAAAAAAAAAAAAAGAACATCACACATAAGGCGCACATGGGGCAATGCAATGGACGCGAAAGAGTGCTTGAAGAGCATAAACAAGTCAAAAAAAGGACGGAGAAAAAGGGAATAGAGCCAAAAAAGGAGGGGGGCAGCAGATGCCTGGTGCCGGAGTAATTTGCAGCTGGACGAATGGCTTGGTCGTGGAGGTCTGCCAGCTCAGCAATTGTCAGGCAGATGACCTTGGAGGCGGGATGGCGGCTGCATCAGCGCCTGGGGGGGCGGTGAGAAGACTCTAAGCAGGAGGCCAAACCACTTTGAAGGGTTGCAGGGCAGGATTCGGGAAGTGTTGGCCTCATCATGCCGTAAGAGGAATCCCTGAGCTGAGGCCTGTGGTTTCATTTTTCATGCTGAGAGGAGATGCTGCTGCCCTCCACCTCCGAACTGGGAGCAGAGAAGCACATCTTGGGAGAAACAGCTGGTGGGGTCTGACACCACCCGCATGCAGCACAATATAAGAATAGATGCATCTTGCTATTGGCCTCTGTGGAAAAATGGAAAATAAAAATAAATAAATCATATTATTATTATTGTTTGCATTTATTCTTATTTTCGTTTCGTTTATTTTTTCTCTCCGCTACCCTTGTCGGCATTGTTTTTCCACCCCCCGGCCGCCGTTTGGGTATCGACAAGAAAGCAGCCTCGCAGCTCAACAGACCTGGAGCTCCATCTCTTTTCCTACAATTTGGAATGGATATGTGGGAATTGTTTTGACAAGCTGGGCACCGTTTCTCCTGTACTCAACATCCCGTATACGCATCCAGAGTACCTACTTTCCCATCTTCAGCTTACATGTCCATGTGTCCTGTGTCTACAGAGCACTTCTACCGTCATACCTACAACCACCAACTCATTGCGTTACTTGACTCACACCTCACTCAACTCGTCTCATTTAAATCCTTCAAGCCTCCAAATTCCCCGGCTTGCGTTTCCGTTGCATCTGTAGTGGCTGTCTCCCTGCCCAAGATATATTAAGTAGGGTGTATAAGCTTGTGTGTATACAAACAACAAAGCCCTTCTGCTTAGCTGTAGGAATCCCCGAAAAAAGCCCTCGTATATCACAAGCCCCCTGTCCATCGTGTTCTTCTTTTTTGCCTTTTTTCTTTTTTCCCCTTTGGCTAAGCCATCGCCATGGGACTCGAGAGCGTGCGCAATAACGCCGCGGTCAGGCAGACTTTCTGAGGCCCCTTTCCCCCCGCAATGTTCTTTGCTCGCCTTTTGGGCGTCAAAAACGGCCATGGCTGAATCACACGAGAAGCCCCATCTGACGGCCGCTCGTTCGACTTTTCTCGCCAATGCAAGACGGAGCATGTGTTCCTGGCCGCCTGAAGGGCCGCATGCTAATGTACGTGTATGTGCGTACAGCTGTCTGTACATGCATCAAGCTTTCTTTCCCATCACCATCACAGACACTTGACACACACTGACGCATGCACGGACACAACGCACAGAGAGACATGCCTCCGCAAGCACAAACCCCCCCCCGCGTCTAAGCATTATTCACACATCACACATCACGCACCACGCGCATTATCTGCATGCGCTCCGTACGCCCATCACCGGCAGTAAATAGCTAACCTGTACGAGGCTGCGGGCTGGGCCGTCCAGGTCGCGATGGTACCTGTACCAAGACACCTTGTGCAAGCTTGTCGTGTTACTTTGTACTCACTCGGGAGCAGGCTGCTCTCACACACTCACACAAGACAAGACACGCATCAATAATATTCACAGACTCAGACATGGATGCTAGAGTCTTGGCACTTGTGCAAATTAATTGCATCTGCAGCATAAGTTGATCCCCCATATCAGGTGGCAAACTATGTTATCAGCATGATGAGCCTTGGATGCTATCGCCATCTGCTCGGATGCTTGTCAGTCCCGGTTATCACACCGAATCTTCCGTCATCCAATCTGTCGTGCTCTCAAGTGAATGGACAAAATGATATAGGTAGGGTGTGTAGAGAGCTGCCCAAGCATTGAAAAGTCGTGTTACAATGATCATGCCGCTGTTCATTTCTCTGCTCTGAACACGGGCGCCAGCCTTCGTCTTCCGACTGGCTGAACCGTTTCAATGTTTTGGCGCCTCCTCGTCGTAAACGGTCAAGACTCGAAGCTGGGAAGATTGCCGTTGTAATCCCATTCGATGAAATCTGCTGAGCCACTTACTTCATGGATCCCGGCTGCCGTCACACCGGTCACTTTGTTCGTCACATTACACAGCAGCCTCTGTGGTTTCATTCGAGTTTTGTTGTACAATGTAGACGGCGCCTCCATCTCGATTTGGTGCCACTGCACTTTTTATCAGAAGGGAGGGCCTTGGCGTTTTCGAATCAAGTTTTTTTTTCCCGTTGCCTTATCTTGCAACACCATACGTTCTGTTATGAACATGCATGTTGTGTACTATTGCTCTTCCGAGACGTCATGCTTTGCTCAACTTGACCTTACCGACTCTTGTCTCGCATTGGTCACCGCATTTCCGTTTTTGTAATGAGAGAATCCGTTTTGTAAAACATGACCTGCGTCTTCCCTTCTCCGTCCAGGGATCACTCGCTCACCGGCTGCATCAGCCGCAGCTGAAAAAAAAAAAAGGAATTATACGTCGCAAGACCTCTAAGTAGGGACTTGTCACAGTTTTTTACTAGGATCAATGCTTTCAGACCGCAACTTTTCTTTTCTAATTTTAGGTAGGAAAGCCACTTAGTTTAAAAAATGGCTTGATTGACGTGTAATACTGTTTTGGGGCGTGACCGGTTGATGTGCTACGTTGGGATGAAAGTGCTGTATGTCATGGCCTTGAGCGGGCCTCTGTTTTATGGAGCGTAATATTGGGCTTCGGTGGATTTGAGAATTAAGTTGGGGGGTAAGAATTAATTGATTAAGAATAAATATTTTATTTTTCGAAAGTATTCCAAACGGTGCTTGGGCTTTGAAGGAGATAACGGAAGAAAACGGCTCTCCTTTTGGTTTCTAGTATTGATCACTCTTCCTTTAGGTACTTGTAAGAAGCACCCACATCAACCCTAAGTTTAAACAAGTGTATTTAATGTGAAAATCATGTTCATCCAATTAAATCACCTCTAACCCTCTAGATAGATATATGGTAGGACCCTCTGCAAGTTCCTCAAGTTCCTCTTGCAAGATGATTTGTATTCCCAGCTCTTTTTCATTCGACTTGGCGCATTTCGTCTTCGAGATATGGCGTCTACTACATTAGGAGAAATAAACTTCCAAGATATCAGTTTGTAAGGGGATATCATGATGCAGCTTTGGCATGGTTGTGTGAGCGTGGCTAGCCCCTGTCTCATTACAGGGAAAGCAAGACAAAGAAGAGCCGAGCTGAGTGAGCAAGTAATAGGACACTTGCGTGATGTATAACATGATGAAACACAAGAATATGTTGTCGATTGCCTGGAGCAATGTTTGATTCCTAGCAGCAGCGTTGACCCTGCGAGCAACATTATTGATCACCGCTGCTATATTTCTTATCTGGGCGCCCCTTCGTCCTTCATGCCTCTGGTCCATGTTGGCTACCCGTGATTGAGGGTCAAAGCATCTGATAACTGTTGAAAGGTTTCCTTATTAGAATAGTGATTGCATAATCCGTGTAGCTGGACGTTCCAGCTCAATCTTGACGTGTTGAGCGTAGTGGTGAGTGCGATCTGTGACACATCATTTGAAAAGATCGCTACGGCATCTTATAACTTGGCAGCCTATTCCACCAGATTGCCATAGGTACCCTCCGGTAGAATCTTTGAACCTTATTGTATATATAAAAAGCATGATAGTTGTTGACGTTGAAGCTTCTGAGGCGGGCCTTCAGATTGGCTTTCAACAGTGGCATCTTATGTTTTGTGGCTTCTGCCGTTGGTTCAGATCATGCCTTCTAGCAGGTGACTCTAGTCAATTGATCCAAGTGCTGTACAGTCTTTCGTCGAACCATCACTTGCAGCTTATTGAGCCGTAAATAACTTATGAGCTAAAACCTCTATCCCTTAAATAGACTTCAAAGGCTTTGATAGCATGTTGGCAAAGCGCAGGCAAAATGTCTTCATAAACTTTGTAGATTGATTTAGATTATCAACTCGCAGCGACGAGCAAAATG